CCCTTTAATTGTGTTGTCCATCTTAATAACTCCACTATTTAAATCCCCATATTCCCATTTATTTGAAGGGTATATGAAATACCAATTGAAACGAAGCCGGTGGCAATTGGGGAAAAGGGGAATGGGAGCTATACCGAACTGAACTGAACTGAACCTTCGGGAGCTGCTCCTCCTGCTCCTGCTGACTGACTGACAGCAATCGAAAGCTATGCAATAATAATAACGACTGAACCCGGGACTGGGAGCAGCTGCCAACATTCACACGTCATTTAATTTCGATTAGTCGTCGTCGCCGCGGAGAGAAGTTGGTAAGACAAACAAATAATGCGACAAATGCAATAATGTCGAATGCGGATGGAAAGCCAAATGCTTTGTGGTCAATACTTGATGGCTCACACTTTGTCTTTGGTAATTGTCGCCTTTGACCACGAAAAATGTACAAAATGCCTAATTGGCACTTGGAAACACGAGCTCTCTCTCTCTCTCCACCTTAATTATTGAATTCTCCCCCTTGAGCACCTTCGATCTTTGATCACTTTTTTTGTTTTCTTTATTTCTGATCAAAGTTGCAGCTGAAAATCGTGGAACAGCAGTCACATCTTTACTGCATTCGATTCACATTTTTGATTGATGATTTAATTTGAAATGTGGAAAACCCGAAAGGTGCTGAGAAATCCTCTAATGAAGTCACAGCCTACATCCGCTTCTGGTTCTGTTTTAGTTTTTATGAAAATCCACTGATTAAACCATGAGAAATGGCCTCGGGTGGGTCTATTAGTGACAAGCTTTGATTAAGATTTTATATTGAATGGAACTTAAATAGAATATCATTTCTTTAGAGTAGTCATCAATATTTTTCACTGGCTTAAGCAAGCTATTTTGACTCATTATTTCTTTATATAATGACTGTCATTAAATGCTATTAAAAATTACATTTTACAGATCTTAATTTCGCATTATAACTTGTTTAATCCACTCTGTCTAACCTTCTCTCCCCCTGCTTGAAACATTCATCAAAGCTGCCCAAATTAGGCCAACACCCAACCAAATCCATTCCCAAAAAACTCTACGCAATAGGCCTGCTGCACCCAAAGGCTAAAAAAAGGAAAATGTTTTCCCAGAGCGTTTAACACCAGCCAGTTGGAGCTCCCCCTGCCTTTAACCCTCTCTCCCCCACAAAGTGTGAATGAAATAAGTTGGACCTACACAGCAACAGCAACAGAATTTTTCGCTTTGAAAATGATTATTAGGTCAGTTGCGGCTGACAGGACGAGGAAAATGGAAAAGCAGGGCGGCGGCAGCTGGACAAATGCCGCCCAAGGCAATGGCCAGGACAAAGACCTCGCCAGGGAAGGGGGGCAACAAGGGGTTAAGCCGGGCAGCAGTAGAAGCAGGCACCTCATACGAAAATAGCAGGGATTCCTTTTGAAGTTTACGCACAAGTATGCCTTGGAAATATAACCCCATCGAACTCCTGAAAAACCCAGGATGCAGGATAATAATTAACGCAATAATCATCGATGAATGGGTAGGAAAATGAGACGAAGTCAGGGAAAATTATACAGAGAGAGAGTGAAGGAAAATAAGGAAAAAGCCTGTCAACTTGGATAATTTGTAGCTAAAAGTTGTGATTATTTTATAGGAAGTACTTATATATTTTTTTATAAATAATTATATTCCACATACAGTCGAATCCCGATAATTCGTACCCCGCTAAATCGAAAATCGCGATAATTCGTAAAAAATTCTGTCCCCTTGAAAAAAACTCGTTAATTCGTAAAAAATCCATACATTTTTGTCCCCTCGTTAATTCGTATTATTTGGCGCAACGCAATGAATATTGAACCTCTTATAAATCGTAATTTTGTTTCGTAACCTCTTATAAATCGTAATGCGACAGCTATGCCGCCTTTATGTCGCTATGCATTAGCATTTCAAAACAATTCGATATCGCTCCATCAACAATATCATCAATTCTACAGAAAAAAGAGTTTATAATGCAAGCTAATTTTGGAAGAAGTTTTGCCCAACAATTCTGAAAGTGACGAGGATGATGACGCCGATGGAGAAGAAATTTTAACGAATTTACAAGCCAGAGCATTAATTTCTCAACTTAAACATTATTTTTCAACCCATGATGTGCCAAAAAGTATCTTTGACAACCTAATAGGTTTAGAAAACGCAATGGAAAAAATAAAAGAAAAAAAACATCAAGCAATCAAAAATTACCAATTATTTTAAAGCTTGAATTTTTGTTTTTTATAATTTAATGTTTATGCTTAATAGTTTAAATTTTAGTTCTATAATTTTATGTTATGGTTTTATTTTCCTTTAATTTGAAAAACGTACAAATGAATGTACATGCTTATAATGTTTGTTTAATTTTAATTTACTTTAATTTTAATGAAAAACCCCGTTTATTCGACTCTTTCATTTTTGAGCCCCGTTAAATAGAAATCTCGATAAATCGAATTCCCGTCTAATTCGTAAAATAAGTGATCCCCTTGCCATTACGAATTATCGGGACTCGACTGTATTATCACAAATATAATTTACAAGATTTAAGTACAATGTTAGGAATATGGTTTCTTAAAGTTCTTTAATTAGTATATTAATTAAAGTTATACCATACAACTTTAAGTTGTCATTGTAAGGCGCTTAAGTGTATTTTAATATAGTTTTTAACTTATTTTTGTATACCTTTTATATTTAAAAAATAAATATAAATATATATTAATTTATAGTATCTGTTTTAGCTACTTATTTTCTTCTTATAAACCTTTTGACATCACTGAAAGGAGGCTGCGGGCCGGTCAATGCTTAAAATGATTAACGCGCTTAACCCGTTGGTGCTCAGGCATGCGCTCGGCACCCTTAACCCCCTTCGCTTGGCCCCCACTGGTCCCCTTGGCCATCGTTTGCTCTGCGTGTGTTCATTTTGTAATTTGCGTAGGTGATGCCATGGAATTTGATTTTCACACGTGTTGCTTGCTTGCTTGCCAGCCTGCCTGTTACTGCTACTACTGCTGTGCTACACCTGCTCCCTGCTCCCTGCTCCCACCTTTGCCCCTCCCACTTATCTTAGTATGCCCATCCCGCCCCCTTGTCCTTGTTGCTCATGTTAATGTTAATAATAATGGAAATGCTGGGTGTGTGCAATTATCTTCCATTTCATTGATTCCACACACGCGCCACATAAAAATAGAAAGCGCCGCGAGAGAAAAACAGAACCAGAGGCCTATCAAAGGGCTTTAACCCATTAGGAAAGCGACTGCAGATGGAGATGAAAATTGGTATGCGAGTATACTTTGAACTTATTGAAAAGGTGTTAAGGTTTTGAGGTAATCCAACCAAGGACTAACGAAATATTCTAATTTTAAGTATGATTTATCAGAGGAACTTCTGTCTATGTATATATCTATATTTCTATCTATTTATCAGTCTATCAATCTATCTATGTATCTATGTATATTTCAATCTATCTATCCATCTATTTATCTATCTATATAACTAACTATATATCAATCTATTCATATATCTATCTATGTACATATATAACTAACTATTTATCTATATATCTGAAAGTCAAGGCTTATAATTGATATGCTTAAATATATACCACTAATTTTAATCATATTTACCAAAGTACCCCCCCTAAAAACTAAATATAAAACGTACTTCCAACTGGAATTCCTTAAACAAAAAGATTTGGCTTGTGTTAAATTACCTTACGGTCAGCAATTTACCTGCTCCGGGGTAACCTCAACCTCGAATTCAATAATTTCTTATGGATTGAAGTTGGCTGGCAAGTTCAAAGCTCACGATAAGGCCAAAAAGGAGAGAAAAGGCAAAACTAAAAGAGGCAGTACGCGGAGATGAAATAGTAATAACAATAATCATAAATACAGCGAGACGATGACAACCCTAAAACATTCAAGAGACCAGGCTCATGACAGGAAAATCTGCACAAGCTCAAGATGGAATCGCATGGAATCACAGATAAATTGTGTAAGTCATGGAACCAAAAGGGGAAAATGGAAAAAATATGGCAAAACTCCAGAGAAAAAAAGAAGAAGAAAGAAAACCCCAACTACTACGTGAGTAGGAGGCTGAAATGTTGCGCGTGCGCAGAAATTGAAATGAAAATTGCTGGGCAGCGAAATCATGCCTTTTTGTGGGAAGAACCTCTTTCCTGATAAGTCATGGGAAGATCGCTGTACAGAGATATAACATTTAATTGCTCAATTGTTGTGTTGACAACTGGCAGCTTAAAAAATGTAAATATTTATATTTAAACCATATAAAAACAGGGGTAAATTAGATGCGCTTTGGAGGGAAAAAACACACACATTACCCCACAACAAAATGTGATGGTGATTTTTTTGTTTGGCTTTGCAAAATGCGAAAATCCCATTAAAAGGCACGCAATTAAGGGAGCTAAAATGCTAAAATGTCTTGGCCTCATTTTAATGGCCAGATAAGCATCGACTATATCGGGTCGACAGCTCTCTCTGCTCTCTCTTCTCTCACTCTTGGCCATTTTGTTCAAACGAAATGTTTGCGTGTGCCGGGCAATTTATCAAAACATTTGATTTAGTTGTAAGAAAGCATTTTCAACTCAATTTCAGTTGGATGTAAGGGACCCTCTTATGCCCTCTTCATATAGCAAAAAATGGCAGCTTACATGGCGGCTCCTGGAATCGAGGGTCCTTGCCTTCTTCAGCAACGTCTACCGTCGGCAATTTAAAAGAGTCCTGGCTCTTGGGGTTGGGATTAAAATAATTGCAAATACAATTTATGAGGAAGTTTACAAGAAACCATTTCGGTTTTGTGTTCTTCTTTAATGTGAAAACCCATTTTAGGTAGCAACTAACAAATAAACTAATGTATCACCTTTTAGCTAACTATTATTTTTGAAAAATATAATGTTTAAACACAAGAGATTAATATATCATAGAGATTGTAATATATAATTATATTTTCAAGCTAGAGAGACTTACCAAATTATGTAAAATCTTCAAACTAAATGTATCTGCAAATATAAATAGAAATAATGGCATTAAGACTATGGAATAATTCCTTAACTCTAAAAAATATAAATTCTACCAGACTTTGGTATAGATATAAACCTAAAGAGTCATAGAACTAATATTTATTTATTCAACAAACAAAGCATATTATTAATAGTGTACAAACGGTATTCCTAATAATAGAATACCTTCTCTAAATTATGATTTGTGTTCATCAATTAGTTCTCATAATTTCCCCGGCAATCAAAGGTAATTAAATGGCCCGACTGAAACATTGAAATGAACCTGTTGTTGTAGTACTTTGTAATTAAAATGTCTGATACAAAACCAGATGCAAATTAACCAACAAAAAAAAACTTGTAGCATTTTGCTATAATTTTTGCAGCTGATAATTTTATGCAAAAAACCGCTGCAGCGGCTAAAAATGAGACTTCGCCGGTTGGTGTTGTATTAAAATGGGCCAGGGGCGTAGTAGAGGGTTAATTGTTTTAGCCAGAAGAGAACACACACAGCATGAGCTCCAAGAGGTAAAATATATATATATATCTCACCATCTTTTAATTCTTACATTTATTATTAATTATTAAAATTTATTGAATTTTGTATAAAAAGTTGGAAATATTTAGAACAATAAGGACTATAACTTCAATTATTTCAGGCTACGAATTTTATAATAAATTCTTTCTTTAAAGAACTGGTATAAAATAATAACTAAATATAGATGGTTTACTTATAAATCTTTAAAAAATATTAAATTTACTTTAAATTCCTATAAAATGACAAAGTTAGTATTTGTTTATTTAATTTTCAGGGTAATAATTATGGAAATTTAAGCAATATAATATTAAATCAAAAGCTATTTCCCAATCTAAACAACTTAAAGTAAAAGAAAGGTATATAAAAGACTAAAGCTTACTTAATTTAACATCTATTTTAATTTATTTAAAATGTAAATTTAATTAAACATATTATTTTCATAAAAACCAAATTATAAATCTGTATTAAAAGAATTCGATAATTATTAAAAATACTTTCTTTTCTTTAAAAGTTAAATAACCTAAATGCCGTCGGAGTTGGCTGGATAATACTTCTTAAAGTTTTTTTAAAGTTTACCTTGAAAAAAAATTAAAAACTCTATAATAAATCAAAAATTCTAAACTTGATTTGCAAATTTAAGACCAAAAGTTAAGCAAAATTCAAGTTTTAGCTCACTTGTATGCTCCCAAGCCATGTTTCTAATCAAATTCCCTTAAATTTCAAAAATTTGGAAAATGTTGATTTGTTTTTTTTTTTTCTTATTTTTCCTTCTATTTTTCCTTCTATATTTTCTTTTATTATTATTTCTTTTCGCTTGCTTGATTATAATTTGTTTTATTTGTTTTGAACACGTTTCGGGGATTGCTTCTGCTCACAACAAATACAAGGACGTAATAACAAGAGAAAAAGAGAGAAGAGAAAAACGATGAAGAACGATGGGTTGGATTGGGGGGGTGGGGTTAGGGAATGGGGAGCAGATGGAAGCAGCGACGTCGACGTCGACAGAGCGGCAATACATTTGTATTTGTTTGTCATTCCGCTCAGTGTGTGAGTGTTGTCGGTCTCGTTCCCTCTCTCTCGCTGGGCTGCTACCTTGCTCACTCTGTTTCATTTCAATTCCCATTTCAATTCAGATTGCGATTCCATTTCCATCGCCGAAACTCCGCCCCTAAAAGCGTTACACTGCGCAGTGTTCCGTTTCCACAGCGTTCCGCTATGTACTGGTTTTTCCTGCCTTTGCTTCTGCCTGCTTTTATTTGTTTTGTTTGTGTCTTTGCGGGTTGGTTTTGCTTCTGCTTTTGCTTTTTGTTAGAGTTTTTTCTTTTGCTTTATTATTTACTTAAGAGCTTTTGTCTGTGTGAGTGAGTGTATGTGTGTGTGTGTGTGTTTGTGCATTTGTTTATGCGTCTCGTTTTACAATTTAAAGGCATTTCCTTTGTGGAAAAGTCCTTTCTCCGAAATTTCAGCACTGCGCACTCTCGCTCTCCCTCTATCTCTCTCCAAAAAGGACCCTCGCTCTATCTCTCTCTATCGCTCCCTCTTGGTCCCCTAATGCTCTGTCCTGCTCCTGCCGCACTCAATCAGAAAATATTGTTATATTGAATAAATATTTTACTTACAAGGTAAAAACAATATTTTGGCTTCAGTCTATGCTTAATTTTTGGGGGTTTCAAATAGGCTACACAGGAAATATTTTGTGGGGGTTTTACTTTTAAAATAGGGTCCTTAATTTGAGATGATATTAAAGGGTATAACTTAATATTAATTACTCAGCCCGTTAAAGCTGAAATAAATTGTTTTAAAAATATTGTGTAATGTATACATATTTGAATTTTTAAGGATGGTTATTTAAATTATTATAATTCGTAAATAGAATTTTTAAAAATTTAATATCTGATATTTTCTATTACATGAAATAATAGAATTGTAGAAAATTTTAGATATCAGAAACTCAACTATTATAATTTATAAGTACGACTAAATTGTAAAGAAATACAAAAATACGATAGAAAAGTACCATAAAAGTATGGCTTAATATATTTTATATAGCATCAAATAATACAAATTAAATATATATGATATAAAAATATAAAATATTTCATTAAAGAATCAATATGTATTTTTCTTTTTATTTATATTTAAGGCCCCTTTTTCATGTATATAAATCTAATTATTGTTATATTAAGAATTTATATAATTAAATCCGCATATTCTCTATGCCTATATGTATTTATTCTCTGTGTAGTCACTTTGTAGGGTTAAGAGGTTCGTTGGGTCCTTTGGCCTGCACTAATTTAAAATTTATGTTTTTCCAAATTTTGTCGGCAATTTAATTTTGTCCGTTGTAGTTTGCGTCGAGCACAACTTTATGATGATGACGATAGTGCCAAGGGGGAATCAGAAGAGTCAAAAAGGTGGGTTTTTAGGGGGTTAAGAAGGTCCACCAACTAGGGTTATTTATAGAACAGACTTTCCGGAACTTCTGCGGAATGTAAATTTCTTCATAAAGAATTCATTCCAAAGATGTCCTGAGAAGCCCAGAAAGTGGACATTTTAAGTTTTGACAGTTTGTTTAATTTTTGAATACAATTTGGAAAGTGTCCCAAAGTTTTTTCTTCTTTAAGTATATTATTTAAAGTTTTAATACAATTTTACAAACTAAAATAGGAAATATGAAACATAATATTAACTAAAATGAACTATGTTTATTCTTTTTTTTAAGGTTTTTACTTATTTCACCTATTTCCCTAAGCAAACCCAATTTCACCCCTTTCTGTGCATTTTTCCATGCCAAGTAATTTTCTCCAATTATCTTTTGGTGTTTGGAAATTGAAAGATTAATTGCCAGTGAAATGCAAAAATAATTTCGTATCTTCTGCAAAGAAGCAGCATTTTCATTGTATACTCGAGCTTCCTTTTAAATCTCTTTATTCGAGGCGGTTTATATATGTACATACATATATACAACGTCCATGTACATGGTGGAGAATCCTGCCTGGGCACCGCTTTTCTTTATATCCGCCATTTTATTGCTTTTTTCCCAGCTCAGCTTTTACGAAACTCCCTCGTAGTACCCCCCTTTTTGGGGGAAAAGCTCGCCAAACTCTCGACATTTCATTTGCAATTTTCCTTTCTTGCTTGCATTTTATGACTTTTTCTTTAGCACTTCTTGGGCAGACTGCCTGCCACACCTACACACACACACACACACACACACACAGATAGAGAAGGAGAATTTTCCTTTGGATATTTCCAACCCAACGCCCTCTGCATTCTTACCGCACCCCTTTCCAAAGTCTCCTCGAAATTGGCAACATCTGTGTAATGCAATTTTCCCTTTTGGCTGGCAAGCGATTTCTTTTGTAGTTTCCTTCTTGCCTTTTTCCTCTATCATTCCTGTTTTTCCACCATGCCCCTGGTGGCTTTTCTTTTCGCCATCTTTTTAATTCCCATTGCCTTGGCATTGCATTTTCCAGCAGGCCAAGTCGTCCTGCAGGATTTATGTGGCTGCCAGGATCTTTGTGGTGGCACCAAAGCCACGCCCCTAACCGGGGGGAGTAGGGGAATACGTAGAGAAATAGAAAAGAAAATTTACCCCAAGTCATTGTTGGCTTTTGCTGAGTTTTTCTCTCGCATCCTTCCCCAAGCCACCGCCGACGCTCTAAAGTGTGCTACAAAAATTGTACAAAGTTTCCCTATTTAATGTCGGCGCTTTCCACACAGGATATGTCTGCGGATGAGCGTAATTTAGATATGAACCGAAAGAGCCCGAAATCTCAAACATATTTTCCTATTTTTTATTACCCCACTTCGATAATACTTTGTAAGGGGCTCAACCCACAAGTGAGAAGGGAAATAAAAAATAAAAAGCCAGTGGGGGATAGCTGAGTCCTCAGCCTATGGTTTATGGACTTTCTTGGTCCTGCTTCAAGGATTGGGAGACTCCTGATGCTGCCACATCATTGTTGCCAGTGACAATAATTCAGGCAGGCCTGGACAAAAGCCAGCAGCACCTGGATATTTATGACCAACTCGTGCTCCTTAACCCATTCCCATACCCAAAGACAGTACTTGACCCTTAACTAAGGAAACACTGGGAGAATAATGTGTAACTTAGACGTGAAATCAGGTGAGAAGAAAATGTGTATAGATGTTCAGGAAGAAATTTTTTAGAACAGAAGAATAATTAAACCTTAATGGTATGCAAATGATTATTATATAAATCCAACCTTGTAAATAAAATTATATATTATAAATTTCCTCATGATTAATAATGAATGTTGTTTTAATAATATTGTATTATTATTAATGTTGTATTATTAATATTATACATTATATTTTAAAAAATTTTAGATATCTTATGATTTTGGAGATTTTTTCGAACTTTTCTCTAAGATATTTAAGTTGTTTCTTTAAAATTGAAGACTTTACTTTTACTTACTTTAACTTTACTTTAAATTAGTTT